AACGTGTTTAATGGCAACAACAACAGTTGAGATGTTTTGGTGCATGTGGGTGGTTTTCATGTTTGACTCAATTACATTGTAAACACTCATCTAATTATGTATATATCCAATTCTTTGCTAGACATTTGCTATGGTTTGAATGGCCCCTCCAAAAATTATGCCAAAATTAAATCGCAATTCCAACAATTTGGGAGATGGGATCTTTAAACAACGATTAACCCTCATGACTTAATCTAGGTTATTCTTCCTGTTATAGCAGGATCGGGTTAGTTATCTCAGGAGTTTGGGCCCCTTTTTATGTCTTATGTACTCATTTTATTTTTTGAAAGTTTTTTTTTTTTTTTGGAGGATTTTGCCTTAGGATGTATGCGTTCATCAAAAGAGAGACAGAGACAGTGAGAGGGAAAGTGAGAAATCACACCCCAGGGGGGATAACCTCACTGCAATCTCTCTCCTCCCAGGATCCTGGGCATGAACACACTCACATCCTGCGTGAGTGTCAAGCCACCGATTCTAGGATTCTGACCACGGTTGGCCATGTGGGAGTTCAGTGATATAACCACTACATGATCTGCTTGTACCAAGAGTTTTTTTGCTATAGGACACATCCTGGAGAGACAGAAAGAAACAGAGAGACAGAAAGTGAGAAATCAGCCCCCCGGGGGTGGGGAGAAATGCCACACCCTAATTCCTTTTCATCCATTTTCCTCTTGGAATTTTAGGCATGCATGCAGAGGTGCCTGGCATGAGTTTTAAGCCTCCATGTGCAGAACTTGAACCATGGTTGACCACATTGGAGTCTAGCACCTTAACCACTACACCACAGCTGGTTCCCCCTTTGTCTTTTATCATGAGATGATGCATCATGAAGACCCTTGCCAGATGCCAGGGACATACTCTTGGACTTTCCAGCCTTCATACTGTCAACCAAATACATGTCTGTTCATTATAAATGATCCAGTCTCAGGTATTCTGTTATAGCAGCAAAAAATAGAGTAAGGCAATGTCCAAGGAGAGAAGATAAGTAGGTCACTTGGAACAAAAATTCATGAGGTCCCAGGAAAGACTGAATGAGGAGTCTTTTAATTAATTAATTAATTATATTTATTTATTTTTGCCAGAGGGCACATGTATTTGCTTGAGAGAAAGTGAGAAAGCACCCTCTATAGGGAATGGTCACACCACAATTCCTTCTCCTTCATTTCTTTCTCCTTTTGGGATTCTGGGCACACTCACACAGATGCCTAGAATGTTTTTCTAGCTGTCAGATCTGGGACCCGAACCACATGGTTATCCATGAGAAATCCATCCACCTTAACCACCATGCCATGAGCTGGCCTGAATCTTTGCTTGGAGTAATTAAAGTGAAGTATTCAGATTTTAAGAGAATTACTAGTGTCAGAGGAATTGTCTAAGAAAACTAAGTAGGATTTTTCAGCATAATAAGGAGAGAGTATGATTATGGGGGACCTAATCCTGTGAGCCATGGAGAGAATGAGAGAGAAAAGGATAGCGACAGGGAGGGTGGGCTTCTCATTTGGAAAGGATGCTGAGAAATTGACACAAGGGACCATGCAAACAAGTGAGTATTTTCATAATCCTAGTATAAAAAACTCGTATGGAAATAGTGATTATATGGAGGAGAGAAAGGGAATAATTGGTAAAGGCCCTGTAAAGCACTTCCCCTGAGCCAGGCAGGATGGAGTGAGCTGGTGAGAGGCAGGTGAATTTGAAATCAAGGACAGGCAAAAGTTATTTGCTCACTTGCAGTTATAAGCTGAGATAATTTTAACAAGTCATGTGAGATCTTGTCTAGGTGATAATAATAAATAATTGACTCAAAATCTTTCATTTCCTCAAAGGGAACTTAATTCATTAACAGGACAAACAGAAGCATCTCCGGGGAAATTTGAGACCCTGAGAAAATAATGTCGAGTCACCTTCTCTCCCTCTAACATCCACATGTAGGTACAAACCTTTTGAAATGAACAGGGAAGGAATCTCTGAAGAGAAAAATAAAAGGATTGAAATAGTGCCTCTTAGTGCTTTACATTTATATAATACCTGGTTGGTTGTATTTCCCGTGTTCTCTAGTAGCCCCCACTTGGTGTGCTTGTTAGTTGTCCTTGTGCCAGCTACATTGCCCTCAGCACCTCCACCCTACCTTACCTTCTCTCTCCAAGGCTCAATAACCGTTTTTTTTTTTTTTTTAGTTTTTGCCATAGGGCACATGTGCTTGGGAGAGGAGAGAGATGGAGATAGAGACAGTGAGAGAGAAAAGTGAGAAATCATCTTTCTGGGGCAAGGGGATGGTCACGCTGCAATCCCTCTTCTTCCAGTCTCCTCCTGGGATTTTGGATATGCACGCACACGTGGCTGGCATGATTTCAAGCTGCCATGTCTGGGACTCAAACCATAGTTGGCCATGTGGGAATCTAGTGCTTAACCTTACGCCACTTGCTGCCCCCTCAATAACCTGCTTTCTCTGATACAGGAGCACTGCTTATGTTGCTCTTGCCGCCCCTTCCTATTTTTCATGCGTGACTGTTATTTGTGTACGTATCTTCTCTACCCCATTCAATGTTGTGTGTCTACAATACAGGGAATGTCCCCTCCTTTTTTCTTTTATTCCCCATGGCCTCTTGCTATTAGTGAATGTTGAAAGATTATTTACTAAAGTAATATAATAATTGTTTTTACAGATAACAGACCTAATCACGATTAAATCATATACTTGAAAGTATAGGATTCAGAACTTAGGTCTTCTGATCCGCAGGCCTGTGTTCTTCCCCTAAACATTGAGTCCAGTGTCAGGGCGTAGAGGGGGGTGGGAAACGGTAAGAGTTGCACTAATATCCAGAGGTTCAGGCGAGTCGAGTATATCCAGCTGAGTCACTTCCTCTTTCAGAGACAATTTCTGATGTCATCCGTGTATGTCATGGCCTTCCCCAGGTGTTTCCCTGAACTGTGAGGATCATACCCAATGTGTGGAACTAGAGGTATGGGTATGCCTTCCAGACATCTCTGATGGTGGGTAAATAGAGGTCGTTAATGCCTTTACCAGAACAGACAGCTCTTAGTTCTCTAAGCACACTTTGTAAACAAACCCATTCAAAGTATCTCTGCTTTAATTAGGTATATGATAGTACCACTCATATTGCACCTATCACATGTTGACTTATTTTTAAAGTAATTTTCGTATAGGAGCCAGCAGGTGGCATGGAGGTTGAGGCGTCTGGATTCCCACATGGCTGGCCATGGTTTGGGTCCTGGACCTGGTGGCTTGCTTCCTCACTTTCCTTCTCTCTCTCTGTCTCTCTGGTCAACTGCAAATACTACTACTAATAATAAAGTAACAGCGAATAAAATTAAATAGAATAATTCTTTAAAAAAAGTTATTTGTGTATGTATTGTATCTGTCAATTTCAAGAGAAGGGCCAAATAAAATGCCTTGTAAATGAAAATAATGTGGTACATAATTGCTACTGGATTGCACCTGGTAGAATTAGGCCTTATCGTTATACTCCCCCTTTAGTTTTCTTTTCTTTTTTCTTTTTCTTTTTTTTTTTTTTTGAGAGGTTTTTGCTATAGGGCATGAACACTCGCCAGAGAGACAGAGAGACAGATAGCAAGAAATCACCCCTCGGGGGGATGGCCACAACGCAATCCCTTCTCCATTCTCCTCTTGAGATCTTGGACACGCATGCACACGCGCCTGGCATGAGTTTAAGCCACTGGGTCCGGGACTTGAACCGTGGTCGACTACATGGGAGTCCAGTGATATAGCCATTACGCTAACTGCTGGTCTCCTCCCCTTTAGTTTTTGCTGTATCCTCTTTAGCTCCCTTTTTCTCTTTGAAACTACTAGATTGTTCTTACCTACCTGGCAAAATCTTCTTTTCAAATTATTAACAGAGAATAATTAAAACGACTGCATTTACTAAGAATATTTGTACTTTAACAGAATATGACCCCACAGGACTCACTACTGATAGATTTAGTTTATGGAATTTTTTGTTTGTTTTGTTTGTATTTTTTTTAAGACAGGTCTTATTATGCTCTGATCCTCCTGCTTCAGCCTCCTGAGTAAACTGGGACTGCAGGTACCACCACCGTGCCTGGCCTTTGGGGATGGCTGGGAATCAAACTTAGGCTTCCCATGTGGCCTCAGCCTGTCAAGTACTAGTGTCAACCAGCACACAATACCCAGGCTGGGCCAGAAAAAGGTTTTATTTTTGCAATTATTTTGTATGATGTTTAGAAAATTTACATTATGACAATAACCACTTATTTCTAATAATGAACCCCCTCTGGGTATATGTTTTATAAAAAAAAATCTTGTCCTATGAGTCTATGGTATTATAATGTTGAGATTTAATTTAGTCCACAAATCCCTCTTAGATTTTTTTCCTTTTCCTGTGTATCGAAGGTATAGGACATGGTATTTGTCTCCTTTCATAAAAATTTAGAAATTATCCAGTATTTAATTCTGCCTTTTCTACCTTATCTAATTGATAGAGATGAAGCTGAAGTTGACAGAGAAAGTCCATTTTTGAAATTATTTCCTTCGCAATAACTTGGCCTTTTAATCCCCCACACATTTTTACAATGCTAACTTTAGTAGCCTTGACAGTAGGATTTTTTTTTAACTCTATGCCATTTAAAATTTTGTCAGTACAATATGTCCCACATATAAGAAATCTTATCCACAAAGACCACGAGAACAAAAGTATATAGAAATCTGACTCGGGAACTATCAAACGTATTTCATTTTCCTTAACTCCTTCACTCTTTGTTTCCAATTATCTATAAAAGTGGACACAAGATGTGTCTTCATGAATTGCCTTTGGAGAAGACAAGAATATCATCAGAAAATGGACCACTGTAACCCAATGAAATATGTCTTAACTACTGTTGATGGATGGAAACTTTGTGGATAGTGGGCCACAATGAACAAACTACCAAGGTGTTCACAGCCATCATAAAGATGTGTTAACGCCTGGAGCAATGGACTTGCATTTATTTCATACCAAGAAAAGCAGGAAATAACTATAGTCGAGTTACTTCCTCTTTTGAGGAACCAAAAAGGCAGCAAATGTAGTTGAAAACAGAGAGACAGATTGCGGTCAAGCTTGCAACGGGTCCAGTGAATGGAGAGTATCTCTGGGTTATGAACTGTGGTTCTTCAGGAAGGATGTTCGGTCTAGAAAGGAGCCACTGGATAAATTCCTCTACCTTGGTAGCACTGAGGAAAAATCTCCACTTTCCTCCATGAACAAAAGTTAGTTTAACCCATGTACCGAAGTCTGGGTAAATATAAATATTTGACTTTGCTTTTTTAATGCTTCTTGATGCATTTTGATGGTTAATTTTCTTCTGAGTTTTAATTTTGGGAGAAATTGTCTTTTTCTTCAGATGATCAGTGGGCTCTGGACATCTGGACACTTTCTTTGGTTCTGCTGAAGAGTTTTCAGAGCCTGTAGAGGCGAAGTTGTTCTTTAGAGTTTCTGGTTGTGTAAGTTTGTGAAGCAATTCTATGATCTCTTTACTTTTTTCTCCCTCCAGAACCTCTAAACAATGTACGCTAGAGCAAAAATTCTGATTTTCCAGTTCTGTCACCTTCTTCTTTAAAGCATCAATGGCTTCTTTCACAGAGAAAATGTCTTTAGCTCTTGTGGATTGTTGGTTTTCACTAACATTCATTCTGTTTTCCAGTACTTCCATCTGCTTCTGATATAGGCCAGTCATTTCCTGGATTTTTGATACTGCATTGACAATGTCAGTCATTTGGTGGAGGAGTTCAACCTGGGCAGTTTTAATGTCTTGGAGAGTTATTGTAAGATTTATTTCTTCATCAGAAGAAGCAATGTCTTGATCACAAGCATAGGAACTCATAGTTGGATATCCCATTGAGTCTGGATGCTGTATCTTACATTTATGGTAAACATTTTTAAGAGATTTTCTGATCTTGGAGAGATTTGAAGTCCACATCTTCCTTGCAGCAACCTTTACCCTTTTGGTGTGAAGTCTGTACATCTTTCATGGTGACACAGAGGCAAAATATTTAGAAATGTGACTAGAATCACAGAAAGAAGCAATATCGGAATGAAGTGGTCTTTCTCTTACAATTTTCTGGATATCTTTCCTGGTAACATAGTAGAAGGCCCCATGGAGAATGTCAAAGGCAACAACAGGTAGGCACTCTTAGATGGTTAGCTTCTTACAGAGCAGCCTAACTGGAGAGCTCTGTGAAATAATGGGCAACTGCATGGAATCCTTCATATGGTAACCACTGACCTGTGCTGATGTCACAGTGACTGCAGCCTTATGATGATGCATTTAATCCTAGGACAATCGTTCTCAAAATTGTTGGTCCAAGACTCTTTTCCACATGTAAAAATTATTGAGGGCCACAGAGCTTTTATTTATGTAGGTTATATCTATCCATATTTTGTATTAGAAATGAAAACTAAGATAGTCTTAAGATATTTACCTATTAATTTATTTAAATAAAAAACTCCATTACATGTTAACATAAATGCCATGTCTATGAAAAATAATCACAATTTCTAAAAGGAAAAAGAATAGTGGGATGAGTGGCATTGTTGGAGGCCAGCTGATGGTGTGGTGACAAAGATGGATGGATCCCATATGGCCAAAGGTACAGTCCTAGTCCCAGACCTTGTGGCTTAAAGAGCATGCTGGGTGTGTGCGCTCCAACTCCCTAGAGGAGAAATGGAGAAGGGACTGTGGGATGGCCATGCTCCATGGGGTGGGTTTTCTCATTTTCACTTTCTCTCTCTCTCTGTGTCTTCAAGTGAGCACATGCACCCTATAGCAGAAAAATTTAAAAAGGCATTGCTTTACATAGCTGTAAATATTTTAAATATCTATATTAATAGAAGATACCTAGATTCTAATATCTGCTTCTCATTACATCTGTTGTGTTATATTGTCTTGATGGAAGTTTGTGAAAAAAAAAATCACAAAGAGATATAAATGGGAAAAGGAGAGGTTTTTGTTTTAGTTTTCTTTTTTGTCATAGGTTGCGTGCGCTCATCAGAGAGAGACAGAGAGAGGGGAAGTGAGAAATCAGTCCCCTATGGGTTGACCATGCCACAATCTGTTCTCCCTTCTCCTCCATTTTCTTCTCAGGATTTTGGCCATTCATGCACACGTGCCTGGCATGATTTTCAAGCCACTAGGTCTGGGACTCAAACTGAGGTCAACTATGTATGAATTCAGTGTTTTAACCACCATATCACCTGCTGGCCCTGAAAGAGAGAGTATTTAAAAACATTATTTTATTATTATTTAATTTGCTAGTAGGTCCATATGCTTTTAGAAAGAGACAGAGAGAGACAGAAAGAGAAGGAAAGTGAGAAAGTAAGCTGCCAGTTCCAGGACTTGAACCATGGTTGATCATATTGGAGTCCGGTACCTTAACCACCACGCCACCTTCTGGTCTCAAGAAAGGATTTTAATAACCTTTCAGATGATTGAGAATATTATTCTTTGCTACTCCTCAAAAATTTGACAAATGATCATTTTTTTTTTTAGAAGTTAGTTGCAATGTATTGTCTTAAACTAGACCAATATATCTTTATACTCTGTTACATTAAAATTTTATTGCTCTATTTTATATTTTAAATGAATGCACGATATAAGGAATTGATCATTAGGGAAATAATGGTTTCCTGATTTATGTAGGTCTTTCAAATGTTGGTCTAGTTTATTATACAATATCAAAATATTCATTAACATCAATACCAGTCTCACCAGAAAAGTTTTTGAGTATTGGGAAGAGGTCAAGCTCATGATAACAAATACAAACTTTTTATTTAAAATTCTAATTTTAGTTAGAAAAGCTTGTAATTTATTAAGCTTCTTACTGTTTTCCTTGAAGTGATCATCTCTGTACATTTATTTTTTGCAAAAATGCTTGCCAAATGCCCAACTATGAACATCATAGTTTGTCACCAATTATTGTTTCAAGAAAAATACTGTTTCCTGAAATAAGTGGCTAGTTCAGTTTGTAACTCAAATAAATACTTTCCCTAGAGACAGCTATATAATATTATACTTTGTTAAGCAGTGGAAGCACTTTATTATGTACTTCCCATCATATGATACATATCAGAAAAGTACTGAAAGGTTGAGATATAAAAAAATATTTTTAAATTTTAACTTTATTTATTTATTTACTTATTTTACTTTGACCAGAGAGGGATAAAGCGAGAGAGAGGGAGAGAAAGTGAGTCCTGCCAGGTCCAGGACTTGAGCCATAGTCAGCCGTATGGGAGTCTAGCACTCTTAACCACCATGCCAGCTGCCAGTCCCAAGATTGAGATTTAATAAGATTAAACATTTGGGGGGATAGGGATGTACCGCAGTTTAGTGTAAAATACAATGCGATGCGGGCCTCACCCACATGGGAGAGTTCTGAGTTGGTGTCTGGAGTCTTCCCTGAGTATACCAGACACACATGTGCTTTTGATCCAGGGCTGGTTAACCCTGGGGTGGGTTACTGTGTTGTGGTCTTATGGGGATGTTGTCTCTCTGGTCTTTTCTCTTTTCATCTTGCTCATGAAAGAAAGAAAGAAACATTTTTTTTTTCTTTTGCTGCTTCAATCACATTCTTGAATGAAACTATCTTCCTTTCTCTTGACCTCCTCTCTCCCGCCAAGTGATGGAGAATAAAGTAACTGTTGGTACAGTGTGGTGCCACTGCCTTGCTCTGTGCTAAGGTACCAACAGTTTTACCCACCATTGCTTTTGCAATGCAATTTTTCAAATGCACAGGTAATACAGAAAAAATAGTAATTTAGGATTGTTTTGATATTTTTGCCCTCACGGTCATGCAAAGTGATTTCGTGGCACAAAGTATGCCACACTTTAAGAAATACTAACTTAGAATTACAAATGACCTGATAGCCTTTTTATATTTCTTTATACAGTGTTTTTTTTTCCCCTAAATAATAGTGAAATCTGAACATCTTGAAATATTATATAATACTTTGTCCATCTTATATTTTGAGCTAAAAACTTAATTTTGTTCTCTGAATACCTAGGACTAAACCTTTTGGAGTTAGAATAACATGATATCCATATGCCAGTCCCATTCTATTCAAGAGGATATTACTCTTGGGAGCCAGCAGGTGGCATGGTGGTTAAGGCACTGAACTCCCACATGGCCAACAGCAGTTCGAGTCCTGGACCTGGCAGTTTGAAAATCATTACAGGCGCATATGTGTGCATGCCCAAAGTCCTAGGAGGAGAATAGAGGAGAAGGGATTGTGGTATGGACATCCTCTCTCAAGGAGTGGCTTCTCACTTTTCTTCTCACTGTCTCTCTGGTCACCGTGTGTGCCCTATGGCAAAAACCTTAAAAAACAAACAGAAAAAGGACATAGTCTTGGATTAGTGCCAATTCTAACCTTCTACTAGATCACTGTTTCTCCTATTTGTGCCAAATTGCACAGTCAGTATTGGCCTTGGTGTTGGTTTGAACTTAGCCAAAGGTAATTTAAGAATTTTGGCTCATCAATGATATCTGGGATTTTGTTTTACTCTCCTATCTTACAATTGCTGTTTAGTAACCTTTCCACAATGTCTAGAAATTTTTTCAAACTCTTGCTGAGGACAAATGATCTCTGGGAGGCAAATACCATAGAAATGGTATTCGGGCCCAGAAAAGTTAGAATTCAAAGCTATCCCTTCTGCTTTGGCCAAGGCTATTTTATCCACTGAGTTCTATAGAACCAGTGTGCAGGGCCTATGAAATTTTCAAGGGTCAGTAAAAATATTTGAGACCAGAAAAGGAAAGGAGAATTGGCTCAGGGTACTAAAAGAATGCTGCAAGATTGAAACAATAAATGTTTAATTAAATGTCTCTGAAATGTACTATATCATCTTCATTAATTGTTAAATTTAGCATTATTAAAATTTCATTACATTTGGAGGCAATTTGTCGATTAGTTATTCTCACTTTGTAAGAAACCCCAATTAATTAGAGGGATTGCTTGTAGTAATTACTCCCTACAGGTTAATAACTGCTGTCTTACTGTCTGCATACCAGACACGGTTCTAAATATTAGCTTATTTAACTGAAGTTTAGAGAAGTCAAGTAACTTTCCCAAGATAATACAGCTAAAAGGGGGGCAGATTTCAAATCTTTACATTCTGGCTCCAGAGTCCACATATTTAACCTCCATTGTCACACAAACATGATAAAAATATATGAGGAGATATCAGAAAGTTTATAGAGTTAAAGTACAAGTTTATTTTGGTGGAAAATTTTGAAATCCATAGTCTTTTCATAATACACATTTTCTATGAACTTTTTTTTTTGGAGAGATTTTGCTATAGGGCGCATGTGCTCGCCAGAAAAACAGAGAGAGACAGAGAGACAGAAAGCAAGAAATCACCCCCCCCAGAGGGGTGGCCATGCTGCAATCTCTTCTCCTCCATTCTCCTCTCGGGATCTTGGGCATGCACGCGCACACACCCAGTGTGAGTTTAAGCCACTGGATCCAGGCCTCGAACTGTGGTTGACTACGTGGGAGTCCAGCGAAATAGCCATTCACCAACTGCTGGTCCTAGAACTTTTTAAAGCCCTTAACATTTATCACAATCCAGAATGAGATGGATAATTCAGTTTTTAAGAAGAAATACACTATGTATTAATTAATATTCATAGACTACATTTATCAAATTTTTATGTTTAGCAGTATGATAAAACTAAAGCTTTAATTGGTTATTTTATTTCCCAAAGCTATTTGAAACAAATTTGTGAAGACTTTAGAAACTGAATTCACTCTGTCTAATTCAGAAGTAAAAACGAACAATTAGAAGCTATTCTTGTTTTAAGGTAGTAGCACTGAAATAAAAAAAAAAAACTTGAAAATTTTGAACTAAAATATTCAGACATTCAGTTTATTTTTATAGAACAAATTCATCTAGTGGGTGTCTGGGTTTCTAACTACTTACCTATTTATGTTAGTGAAGGGAGCCTCCCCCATTAGGGGCATGTTGGGCAGTGAAAAGCTGGAGTGTGAGGGTATAAACTTAATGATTTGGGTCAAGTTTTGAGAGCAGTCAAAAGTGATGAAAAGAACAGTAATTGAGCTCTTAAGGTCCCTTGCAGAGATATAGAGTCATGTAAGAACAAAAGAACGCAGCAGACCGTGGTCTATGGGAGACTTTCGGAGGATATACGGTCTCCAGGAGGCTGATTTTCACAG